CTGTTTTAGGCCGAACAGGTGGCTGAAGTTTTTCTTGACGTCTCGGGAGCTCGCGAACCTCAAGAGAAAGCGCTGAGCCAACTCACGGAAATTCGTGATACTCCCGTCGGGTAGAGAGTCATACCATTCACGAGCCGGGCCATCCAAAGTGGCAGAGAAACCGCGACATCGGATGGCGTCCTCGTACCCCATCATGACCATGTAGGAAAGGTACCGAGATACATGATGCTGGGGGTCAGAAGCGCCCTTGTATGCTTCAATGGCGCAGGGCTTGTAGCCCCTCGGCAACGGCGCATCCATGACCGCCCGGGTGAAGGGTTCGGGTATCCGGAGGTCAGCCGTGTAGGGCTCCCCCCCGACGACCCTCCTTCTCAACTCGTCAAGGCGCTGTCGTAGATCTTCCACCTCGGCCGGCGGTGGGTTCCCCCAGACAGCTCCAGCGCGGGGCTGGGCATGTCCGGCGGCACCTCCAAGTCATCCGTGCACGTGAGGTCGGGGCCCCACGTTTTGCCTCTCCGTGGAGCCAGTCCGACTGCTCGCCCGGTGAGAGTGGCGAGAGGGCTCGCCTCCTTCCATCTCGTTGGGCGCCCCTGCTGGGCGCCCCTCCCCGTCTGCCGATGGGGTCGGCTAGGCTGCTGGGAGACTTCTTCCCCCCGCCGATGGGAGACTTCTTCCCCCCTGTTTTGGTTGGATCCAGAGCGTCGCTCATCACGCCGCCTGGAGGACACCTCCACATCCGCTGGCGTCTGTTGACGGGCAGGCTCATCCACATTTTCGCCAGACACCATCTGTTGGAAATTTTGAGCCAAGGTCCCCAGAACCCGAGTTGCCTCCTGCAGGGCTTCCACCCTGGCATTGAGTCGAGCCGGGTCCATGCGCGGAGCATGACGTCGGCCTCCCCCCCAGTTGCGGACCGAGCACTCACCTTGAGTGTGGTTGAGCGTCGCCCTTAGGTCGCTGTGGCCTCATAATTGGTTCCGAAGGTCGCCTTGGCGCGCCGCCCTCCTACCCTGTGCATGGTTGTCGAGGGCACGCTGGCGGCAGACCGGGCGGACTCCTCGATGTGGACTGAGACATGGTCACGTCGAGACGAGATTCCGGCCATCTTCCAAGGTGATTCCTACTCAAGTGATGTGAGAGACAATAGAGGCTCTCAATGAAAGCACCAATGTTGGTCCAAAATAGGACGCTCGTAGGCTTTTAGGAAAGCTACGTACGACACTCGAGCAAGAATTAGGAAAATACGAATATGGAAAGTTAGCCAGAAATAGCCTATCTGTATTTGAAATTCGAATTTCTTTTTATAGGCGATTACAAATGGTAACTGCCGAACATAATAATGACTAAATTAATTACAACATTAATACGGAATTAAACACATAATTAAGTAGCGCATTGATTGTTGGCCGTTACTCTTTCTGGCTGGCAGGCTGGACGCTTGAGCTCCCTCCTGCTGGACTGGACGGTGGGCTTCCCGCTAGGCTGGAGGAAGGCTTCTGACCGGGCTGGAGGCAGGCTCCCGGGTATGCTGGAAGGCAGGCTCCCGGGTAGGTTGGAAGGCAGGCTCCCCGTTGGGCTGGAGGCAGGCTCCCACCTGGGCTGGACCGCAGGCTCCCAGTTGGGCTGGTGGTCGGCAGGCTCCTGGCTAGGCTGGAAGGCAGGCTCCCCACTGGGCTGGAAGGCAGACTCCCCACTGGGCTGGAAGGCAGGCTCTCGGGTAGACTGGAAGGCAGGCTACTGACTGGGTTGGTAGGCAGGCTCCCTGCTAGGCTGGACGGCAGACTCCCCACTGGGCTGGAAGGCAGGCTCCCGGGTAGGCTGGAAGGAAGGCTGCTGACTGGGCTGGTAGGCAGGCTCCCTGCTGGGCTGGACGGCAGGCCGCCCTGAGCTTTCACTCTTTGATAGGCCTGATCGGTTGGGTCGGAATGAGCTCTGGATCACTAGACTTGGGCCTGCTGGTCCAAGTCCGAGGCCTGGGCCGATTAAGCTCTGGATCTAGTCCCATAACCCCATCATAATCATTCTTGGACCATCTATAGTTCCTGCACCATTCATATAAGAATCATAATAGAACTCCAAGACTCATAGCTACTAAAATTTCTGGAAGCAGAATTAATAGCTAGCAGGTATCTTTTCTTCTTTACTATTTCTTTCTTTCTTTTGGTGTATTGCAGGGGAAATTCGCACGTCCCAGCTCCCCTGTTTGCCGCCGATGCTGTCATGCCGTCGCAAATTGTTGCTTGGGCAGATGGTGCTGCTTGTTGGAGAGAAAAGATGTCGCCTGAGACCAAAGCTGGTCCTGTAGTCGATTTGAGAAAGAGGAAGCCGGAGAAGACGGTGCCTGAGTATTTGTTGGCGCTGCTCGTCGGACTGTTGGTATTGGTCGCGGCGGCTTGGTCACCGAAGGGGGAAAGAGATGACAGATGGTGTTAATGGTGCCCCCGAGGTCGATTCCAGGTGAGGAGGCGTCTGTTGTCTTCCGGAGCTGCTATCCGCGTGTAGGAGATCCGCACGAAGGAGAAGAATGCCTGGCCAAGTTTCTTTGATTTGTGATTCAAGGCTACAGTAGCTTTGGCCAGAGGAAAGAGACATTCAACTGCTCGTGCGAATAAATTGAACGCCATTGGGCCAGCTTTTACTTTTTAATAAATTGGGCCTTTGGGCCTATTTTATGCTTTGAGCTTTCCCATGAATCCGGGCAATTCTAAAATCGCAACGAGACCCTGTTTTCTGCTATTTCAATCGATTTAATCATCACGCCACTAATTGAAGAGGAAGGAGTTCGGTCAATCGCTGGTTGATTGCTGGTTGTCGGTGCCGCTTGGGCCCCTTCGTTGGGTTAGTGGCACCGATCTAAAGAATTGGTCTGGTTGCCGCTCATCAGTGTCGCTTGGGGCCCTTTGTTGGGTTAGTGGCACCGATCTATTGAATTGATCTGATTGCCGATCATCGGTGTCGCTTGGGGCCCTTCGTTGGGCTAGTGGCACCGATATAAAGAATCAAGCCGATTGTCGGTCGTCGGTGTCGCTTGGGGCTCTTCGTTGGGCTAGTGGCACCGATCTAAAGAATTAGTCCGATTGCCGGTCATCGGTGTCGCTTAGGGCCCTTCGTTGGGCTAGTGGCACCGATTTAAAGATTTCGACTAATTGCACTTGTTGAAGACTGAGATGTTGCCGCTACTTTCGACCTTTGTCCATTGTGAATGAGCTTGACTAAGTATTGGCCAGTGTTACATATTTCTTTGTTCGTCTAGTCGGAAGATGAAGTCAATTGCTCAGGCTTAAGATTGATTATCATCGCTGAGCGGCCTGTTTTTTATTATTATTATTATCACTTTAGTTTTTTTAGTAATAATAATAATGATGATGATGATTTTTTTTTGCAGTCCAAAATGATTCCTTTTAAGAACGTAAGACGTGGAGGCAAAAAGTATCTCTCTATATCAACGAGCAAGAAGAATGACAAAGAGATTCTTTTGGAGATGCACAAGCCATTTGCTCATGAGTTTTGGGGTCCAACAGTTGTGTCCTATCGAGTTACAAACTGGACTCCTTAGTGCGAGTATCAAGCTCAGACAATGTGGACTTTAGTATCTGGCTTTACTCACATGTCCTCTTCTGAGATTCTTCCTTCTTTGGGTAGACGCATCCTTGATGAAAACGCCCCTTTGACACAGACCTTATCATTTGGTGGTGAGTTTAGATTCATCACAGGTTATTGGGACTGGGCCGAAGATATTTTGAGCATGAGTAAAAGCGTTCTGGAGGAAGGGCTTATCTACGATGCTGTTTCTGCCTCATTATTCACGTATGACCGATGTACTCATGCTATTCAAGCATTTTGTGAGGCATGGTGTCCCACGACGAATACTTTGCTTACGTCAATTGGCGAATTGACGATCACACTTTGGGACTTGCATGTTATCGGAGGATTGCCTATCATAGGAGACGCATATGATGAATCTATTCCGGGCACTTCTGAGTTGTTAAATACGAGCGCTGACCGTTCATTTCATCTCTGCAAATATTTGTTTCACACATATCATCATCTCTTTCCCAAGGCCGGAGATAAGCTTGTTTTGCGTGTTCATGCGTGGGTCAAATTCTGGTTCAGAAAGGCCTCTAAGTATACTATGCCTCCAGTGAGAACAGAAAAGAAACGAACATCTCGTGCTAAGGCGACCCACAATCCGAGCGAAGCTATTCCAAATTTTGGAGGATGGTCGAATTCCTTACTCAAGGTTCCTGTTGAATATGAGGAAGAGGTATATTTAGCGGCATTTTTATCATGTTGGCTTTGTGCATTTGTATTGCCGCATGAAGGTCCTAGAGTTATCCGCCCGGAAACATTCAGAATTGCTTATATGTTGGCTCGAGGGAAACGTGTATGCCTTGCGGTCCCGGTTCTTGCAAGTGTCTATCATGGGCTTAATCGGATCTCGAATGCTCCAACTCTTGATCAGGTTAGAACGTGTTTTCCCGTTCACTATGTCTATGGATGGTTAGCATCATACTTTGATACGCATTTTAAGAATGAGATCCAGTCTACGACGCCATTAATGATTTCTTATTCGGGAGAAAGTGGAGCGAGATCCCTCGAGAAGAGAAGTGCGCGCAAACGAATTTTCCAGGGAGATGTATCAGCATGGGTGTGTTCTACACATCGGAGAATCAAAGAATATTCATTCTTTGATGGAAAAAATCCTCCAGAGGTTGAGTTGGCGCTTTTTAGGAGTTTTCGGTCTAATTAACTTGTATTACGCTACCGGGATCATTGCATTGCCGAGCCTTACACTCCTCACCGCTTTAGTCGCCAATTTGGGTATTTTCAGGCTTATGCTTCTGGCTTTCTTGAGATGCGTAATCGGAGTGTCACACTTGCTGCTGGCTTTCAGCTTTGGCTACAGTTTGAGCACGGCATGTCACAAGCTGAAGCGGTAATTCCGACTCCTCCTACTATTCCAACGAAATTTTATTCATTGCAGTATAAAGAATGGTGGGGTCAAGTTCATGGAAGTTATTTGGAGAATCATGTGAGCGACTTGATCAAGATTTGCGATCTTGCGGTTGGTGATGTGATCACCCCTTCAGATCCTGTGACTTCAATCTCCAAGAAGAAAAAAAAAGCCTGATACTGAAGCTAAGTTTTTGCCTCAGAAAAAGGCTAAGCTTGTAACACCTAGGGCTGAAGTTTTGATTAAGGATGCTGAGAAGGAAATGTCTGCTGCCAATGAAAGGCAGAGTAGTGATGAGAGGAACTGGAAGCATTTTAGGAAACCTCATGTTGGGCCACTGAAGGTTAGTTTCATCATTTCATAGTTTTATTTAAAGTGTGTACTTATATTTTTTTCTTCTTTTGCAGATTCATGCAGTCCTTGATGATGCTAGTTCCTCGAATCATGTTTCTTCATCTAGCTTAAGTGAAGGAGAAAGCGCAGATCATGACACCGTCGCTGGATTGATAGCAGAAACCGGCCCAAGTCATTGCAAAGAAGTTCCGATCCATGAAATACCCAAGTCTTCTCATGCAAAACCGGTTGCATCTGTATTCCATGCAGAAGACTACTTCTTTACTCTGTATAAGGAGTTCATCATTAATACTTGGAGTGGCATTCAACAAAAGTTAGGACGGGCTACAGCAGAGAACGTCTCATCTCTTCAGGAGAGTGTTGAGAATTGTGTTATCTTGATGGAGAAGGAGGGCATTGACCTTTCCATGTTGAAGACGAGAGTGAAGCATTTCTTTGAAAGGGCACAAGCATTTGATCAGACGTGTTCGACTGTTGCTGATAGGGTTCCTTCTGAGAAACAATCTCAGGAATTGGCTATGTCGCAGGCTTTTTGTGAAGATATTGAAGCTAAGAGATCTCAAAACCAAGTGGCATTACTTGATGATGAGAAATCTCTTAATGATATCAAGAAGAAGATAGCCTTATTGGAAGCTGAAGCTAAGGAAGTAGAAGTTTCGATCTCCAAGCGTCGTGTAGAGGCTAGTGACTTAGACACAGCTATTACGAAGGCTAAGTAGGAATCTTCACGGATTTTGAAGACTATCAAAGCATCAGATGAAGATCAATTTGCTTTAAGTACTCAGAAGGAGCTAGAGGCCTTGAAGGATGACTTAGTTAGCTTTAAATTGTTTTTAGGCTGATACTTAGCTCTTAGATTAGCTTTTAGTCAGCAAACAACTCTTTTCCTTACTTCTTACCAAACTATATATGGATATTTGCTTCCTTTGTTGCTTCTCATGAGTTGATATTGCCTTGCTTCTTCTTCTTCTTCTTCTTCTTCTTCTTTTTTGTTTTTTTTTTCAAAGTGACTGAGATCAAACTTTATTGAGGGTTTGTGTTGTTATAACTGAACTCAAAAATGAAATTTTCGAGCTGCCTACGTACTCCTATGAAGGAGATCAAGTCAAACGTAGTTCATAAGTACCATTCGAATTGGTAATCTAAAGGAGGGGACCGTACACAGTTTTAACTCATGCGGGCCAGGAGCTTGCCGTACACATTTTTAACTCTCGTGGGCCAAGAGCTTGCCGTACACATTTGTAACTCTCGTGGGCCTAGAGCTTGTACACATTTTAAACTCTCGTGGGCCAAGAGTATCTATGATTACGCTCACCCATAGACAAGGTGAGATGTTTTAACAGTTTAGCCACTTACAACATCATTGGTGGTTGATGCACACTAATTAGTAGTGCATAATTGTATGTTTTTATGTTTCATTGATGGTGATTGTTTGACGTTTTATTTAGTTTGTAAACATTTGTGTGATTTTAGTTGTAATTGTATTTTAGTTCTCATTTGTAAGTTGTAAAGTAGAATTAGGAATTAGGATATTGGAAAGGAGGATGTTGAAGTGAAGAAAAAGGAATTTTGACTGTCCAGGAGCAAATACCCGACCGGGTAGAAGACTTCACCCGGTCGGGTCTGATTTAACAACCGAAATTTCAATGAAAGAGCTGGACCCGGTCGGGTCCCCTATGCTACCCGGTCGGGTCGGATGTGACCCGAAACACCAGAACGTGCCAAGGATCGCCTGAATAAAGAATATCTGATTTTTGAGTCAAACCCGGTCGGGTCCCCTACTTGACCCGGTCGGGTCTGACTTGACCCGGGACATTTTAACGTGCTGAAACACAAAAACGTGGGAGGTAATCTGATTTTGACCGGTACCCCGGTCGGGTAAGTACTTGACCTGGTCGGGTACCCGGCCCAAGGTGTTGAAAAACACCTATAAATAGCACACTTTTTCTTCTCTAAAAAACATCCATTCTTCCATACTCTTTAGCTCAGTTTAGAATAGCATTTCTTTATATTTTTCTAGCTATGTTTAGTCTCCAAATGAGGAGCTAAACTTCCATTCTTGGTTTTGCTCTTGAAGCTTGTTGATTATTAAAGTTGTGAGTTATTTTCTTAACTTCGTCTCTTGATTATTAATTCTTCCCTTAATCTCATTCTATATTAATGTTGGAGGGTTGCTAAGTGGCGATTAGTTAACGTTCCGACATTAATTACTACTAGAAACGACCAACGAACCAATGGTTAATCGTTGGTGGTTTCATAAGTAAGTAACATCGGTTTATTAATGCACGGTCGTGGTTAATAAACTTAAGAGGGATCAATTTTGTTGGTTAAACCGAAACCGTTGTGTTAAGGTTATCAATCTCAATTGATTTCATCAAGGAGTTAAAAAGATTGAATGCTACTATTATATCGGTATACGGCGTTGTTCTATATTTGATTAATAGTAAGGGTTATTAATGAACGGTCGTTGTTAATAACTACCCTCGATGAATTGGAGATACTCCTCGATTGAGTATTCGAGAGGGGATAAGTTATAGATATAACAAGGATCGACTAAAATATATCAACAAGTGGAAAGTAGCAAAGCCAAGTCCCTTTTATTCTTGAATTAAACACATATAGGTTGTTCATCTTAGTTTCTTAATTGAATTAAATCACTCAAAACCAAAACCCCCCTTTTTAATTACTAGTTTCAAAAAAAGAGAATCATTCCTTTCCCTGTGGATACGAACTCTACTACGCTATACTACGTATAAGAAACTAAGATGAACAACCTATATGTGTTTAATTCAAGAATAAAAGGGACTTGGTTTTGCTACTTTCCACTTGTTGATATATTTTAGTTGATCCTTGTTATATCTATAACTTATCCCCTCTCGAATACTCAATCGAGGAGTATCTCCAATTCATCGAGGGTAGTTATTAACAACGACCGTTCATTAATAACCCTTACTATTAATCAAATATAGAACAACGCCGTATACCGATATAATAGTAGCATTCAATCTTTTTAACTCCTTGATGAAATCAATTGAGATTGATAACCTTAACACAACGGTTTGAGTTTAACCAACAAAATTGATCCCTCTTAAGTCTATTAACCACGACCGTGCATTAATAAACCGAAGTTACTTACTTGTGAACCACCAACGATTAACCATCGGTTCGTTGATCGTTTCTAGTAGTAATTAATGTCGGAACGTTAACTAATCGTCACTTAGCAACCCTCCAACATTAATATAGAATGAGATTAAGGGAAGAATTAATAATCAAGAGAAGAAGTTAAGAAAATAACTCACAACTTTAATAATCAACAAGCTTCAAGAGAAAAACCAAGAATGGAAGTTTAGCTCCTCATTTGGAGACTAAACATAGCTAGAAAAATATAAAGAAATGCTATTCTAAACTGAGCTAAAGAGTATGGAAGAAAGGATGATTAAAAGTGAAGGAAAATAGGGTTATTTATAGGTGTTTTCAAGACCTATACCCGGATACCCGGCCGGGTATTTTGACATACCCGACCGGGTATTTACCAAATCAAATCTTTTCCCATGTTTTTGTGTCTTCTGCACGTTCTTTGGTCCGAAATCACTTCATACCCGACCGGGTATATGGAATAGCCGACCGGGTATTTGCTAGTTTTGCAGCAGTTTCCTTTGTCACTTCATACCCGGCCGGGTAAAGTCCATACCCGACCGGGTTTTGCACAAAACTCAGGTTTCTTCATCCTTTTTGCTTCCAAACCTATCCTAAACTTATAGCCGAACTAACTACAACTTACAACAAACAAAAAAATGTTAGAAATACGATTACAATCAAATGCAAACTAATAACTATAAACTTGCACAAAACTAGTAAATAAACATTACAAACAATAATAAAAATGTATACTTAGGCACTAACAACTAGTGCCTATCACTTAACATAGGAGTAAGTAGACTGCTTTCCTTCTATCTTCCCCTTTATGGTTCCCATGATGAAGTCTTTGAGTTGATCAATCGGGATCATGCCCCCAGAGGTTGAGATGTTCTTTCCCGAATCCTCTTGGTGAGAATCATTATCTTCAGCACTTCGGGATCCTTCTAATGGGCATGACTTGACTCGCCTTTCAAGCTTTCCACTTTGCTGTTAAGATCATTCAACTTCTGATCTTGAGCTTGCATGAACATGCTCATCCCCTCGATGACCTTAGTTAGATGGGCAATTTGTTCTTCCATAGATGTGGTGCTCGTCGTCATAGTGAGCATCACAGTGTAGACATTTGACCACTGTGGGGTAGTTCTTCGTGGAGAAGTTGATGGAGAAGTAGAGTCTGAAACAGACGATGAGCTTTCACCACCGTTTGTCCACTTCGGGGAAGTAACTTCATGTATGGATGAAGAAAGCTTCCGGGCCATCTCTTGCGCAGTTTCAAATCCCTCCATCGCAAGCTCTCAGCATGTCTCAAGAAGAAGCAACAACAATATTTGTGGACGACAAGTCAGCTATTGCATTAGCAAAGAATCCAGTGTTTCATGATCGAAGCAAGCACATAGACACTCGATATCATTTCATTCGAGGAAAGATAGCGGAGAAGGAAGTTCAAGTAGAGTATGTGAAGACTCAAGACCAAGTCGCTGATATTCTCACAAAGCCACTCAAGCATGATGTCTTTGCAAAGATGCGAAATCTACTTGGTGTTGCTAAGTCAAGTTTAAGAGGGGATGCTAGAAATTAAACTTGGCTTAGCCCAATAATTGGGTCCATTAGATGTTAACTTATTGGGCTAGAAGTTGTATGATAATTAATAAATTAGCTAGCCCATAAGATAGACTTAGAAAGATCTAGAGTAGTTAATGTACCTAAACAATTCTAGATTATTCCTAAGCTAGAATCCTATAGAATATTCTAGAAGGTTGAGGAAGTAGAAGTGCCTAGAAGGATCCTATGAGACCTATAAATAGAGCACTCCTCACTCATTTGTAGAGCAAGCCAAGAGCTCCAAATCAATACAAGTTCCAAGTTCTTCTAAAATCACCTCTCTCTAAAATTCTCTCTTCCACACACAATCACCCAAATATAATACTCATCAACTACTTTCTTCCAACAAAGTGGTATCAAAGCCATCAATGCTTTCAAGAAAAATGAATTCCAACGGCTTAGTTCCATTCCAATTTCCTCGTCTCACTAAAGATAACTACTCTAGTTGGTGCATTCGCATGAAAGCCTTGCTTGGATCTCAAGATGCATGGGAGATTGTTGAAAAAGGTTATGAGGAACCTCAAGATGATGCTACTTTAAATCAATCCCAAAGGGATAGTCTCCAAAAGAGTAGGAGGAAGGATCAACAAGCTCACACTCTCATATATCAATGCTTAGACGAGGCCATGTTCGAGAAGGTTTCAAATGCCACCACTTCTAAAGAAGCATGGGAGATACTACATAACTCTTTCAAGGGAGTTGACAAGGTGAAGAGAATTCGTCTTCAAACTCTTAGAGGTGAGTTCGAACAACTTAAAATGAAATATTCGGAATCAATATCTGACTATTTCTGTAGAGTGTTAGTAATTGTAAATGAGATGAAGAGGAATGGTGAGGAACTAAAAGACATAACGGTGATTGAGAAAATCCTTCGCTCTCTCACCAAAGACTATGATTATATTGTGGTGGCCATAGAAGAGTCCAAGGATTTAGAGTCCATGACCATTGATCAACTTATGGGCTCACTACAAGTCCATGAAGAAAGAGTTGTGAGAAATAAATCTGATGAATCATTGGAGCATTCTCTTTACTCCAAACTCTCTTTTAAAGAAAGAGGGGAGAATAGAGGTGAAGAAAGAGGCCAACGAGGTCGTGGTTATGATCGAGGACGTGGTGCACGTGGAAGAGGTGGTCGAGGTCGTGGTTATACAAACTTCAACAATGAAGAAAGAATTCAATATACGCAAGCATCTAGAGGCCGTGGGAGAGGAAGC